TCCCCCAGTGAGGGGCTGGGGTGTGGCTCAGTGGTAGAGCCCCTGCCTAGAATCCCCCAGTGAGAGGCTGGGGGTGTGGCTCAGTGGTGGAGCCCCTGCCTAGAATCCCCAGTGAGGGGCTGGGGATGTATAGCTCAGTGCATGGTCCCACTTGTGGGTCGTATCTAAGTGAAAGTTGTGAGAGCGAAGAGACCTGGGACCCAGAGTCTTAGGAGAGGTTTCCCTGAGAGTCTCCGAGGTCCAAATGGAGTCATCAGGGAAGGGGGCATCCCAAACCTGGCGCTGTGTCTCCAGATCTGCCTTGTTCCCAACCAGCACAATGGGGAAATCGTCTCGGTCCTTGACTCTGAGGATCTGAGTGAAGAGCTTGCCTACCTCATTGAAACTGCAAGAGAAGCCAGTAGTGTGAGGCAGCCTTCGGGACGAGCCTGTCCTGTGCTCAGGCAGGTCCACCAGCATCCATCCCCCTCACCTCTGCCGGTCATTAATGGCAAACACCAGCAGGAAGCCGTTGCCAGCACGCATATACTGCTCCCGCATGGCACCAAATTCCTCTTGACCTGCAGTGTCCAGGACTGTGGGGACAGAGAAAGGCGTACGTGGGTCCCAGGCTGTCCTGGGCATGCTCAGCCCTGCTAGCTGCCTCCCAGCCAAGCCCAGCCCTCCTCACTGTCCAGCCGTGCAGGGACGCCGTCAATGGTGCAGATCTTCGTGTAGGAATCCTCAATGGTGGGGTCGTAGTCAGACACAAAGTAGGACTGGAGGATAGAGAGAGGTCACTGAGTCTGAGTGTGTGTGTGTGTGTGTGTGTGTGTGTGTGTGTGTGTGTGTGTGTGTGTACACGTGCCCTGCCCCTACATATTCCTCTTGAGTCTGTCCCTCTCTGGGTCTGTCTCTCTTGGTCTCTGTCCCCTCTCTTTTTTTGGGTCTCTTTCCTACTCTGGGTCTCAGTCTCTCTCTCTTCTCCTGAGTCTCGATCTGTCTTTCTCTCTTGGTCTCTCTCCCTCCTGCTTTCTCTGGGTCCCCCTCTCTCTGGGTCTCAGTATCTCTCTCTCTCCTGCTTTCTTTCTCTGGGTCCCCCTCTCTCTGGGTCTCGGTATCTCTCTCCTGCTTTCTCTGGGTCCCCCTCTCTCTGGGTCTCGGTATCTCTCTCCTGTTTTCTTTCTCTGGGTCCCCCTCTCTCTGTGTCTCGGTATCTCTCTCTCTCTCTCCCTCCTGCTTTCTCTGGGTCCCCCTCTCTCTGGGTCTCGGTATCTCTCTCCCTCCTGCTTTCTCTGGGTCCCCCTCTCTCTGGGTCTCGGTACCTGTCTCCCCATACTGCCCATGTCATCTCTCTCCCTCTCCATCCCTCTGAGTCTCTGTCCTCTCTGGTCTTTGTCTCCTTTCTCTCTGGATCTCTGTCCTCCTCTCTAGCTGTTCTGATTCCATCTTTCTGGCTGACTGTCCCCAGGTCATGGGTCCCTGTCACCGATGCCATTCCCTCTCAGCATGAACCCACATCTCCCTTTTCTTCAGTACAAAGCATCCTCCTTTGCCGTGATTACTCCCAGCGGCGGGCGTAACAAATCACTTTCCCTCTCTGAGTCCCACTTTCCTCATTTGGAGAGAGGATGAGGACACTAGACCGACCGTCTAACAGTGTGTGAGCGGGAGCGGGAATTCTCTGCGCCACACTTCACACTTGGCCTGGTGACAGTTAGCTCCTGAACGCTCTTGTTGACCAAAGTAGCTGCCTATCTAGCCGGTCTTTCTTTCCTCCTCCACTCCCTCCTCCGTCAGCAGCCTCCAGCGTCCCCTCCCTGGGGAAGGTCTAGGTTCCAATCCCTCTTCGGAGAGGCTGCCCCACCCTCAACCCGCCCCCCCCCTTCCTGCCTGGGTCCTGCTGCCTCCAGCCAGGCCTCTGGCCAGCTCCCGGTTTGGCCCTGGGGGCCAAGGGCTCAAATTCGGGCTCTTCCTCCCCCCTGTAGGCTTCTCAAAGGCACGCCTGGGGGTTCCTTGTGTGGTCTGTCACCCAGGAACCTCCACTACAGCAAGTGGGCTCTCACTTTCCTGGCGCTGCCCTGACCGGGTGGGGTGGTGAGCGGGGAGGCTCCCCGTGGGAACTGGGTGGAGGTTTCCGGGGCTGGGCTGGATTTTCAGAACTTGGCTGCTGCCGCTGAAGGTGGCTTCCTCTCTAGAGGGTGTTGGCTGGCTGGAAGGAGCAGAGCCTGGGGAGGATGAGGCTTGGTTTGTGTGGGGGAGACTACCTAAGACTCAGTGCTCAAGGGTGAGAACAGCCTGGAGCATTCTTGGAGGGCAGGTTTATGATGTAGTGGAGAGATGGTGCATTTATGGGTCCTAGAACCTTCCAAGTAGCAGATCTTTGGAGGTTGTGAAAAACCTGAGGTTTTTTTTTTTAACCTGGAGATGACTCGGGAGCTACCCAGGGTTTCTAGAGGTGAGAGCAGGGAGCTGGAGTGGAATAGAGAACTTAGGGTGGAGAAATGGTTGGTTTTCCTTGGGGGGAGGGTGGGAAGGGGAGGGTCTGCATTTAGCAGAATAGGGTACTGCCCGATATTGGTGTTCTAGAATGGTCACGTGGCAGGATCTACCTAAGGTCTGAGGAGAAATCCTCTTCAAGCAGGGGTTCCAGGGTGTCTTTCTTAGGATTGCGAGCTAACAGCAGAGTCCTAGAACCAAGGTCTGGGCAAACATTTCCAAAGTCTGGGGGATGGTGCCTGAATTGAGGGACCAGGTTTGAGCTGTGCCAACGTCTAAAGTACTGAGCACAGCCGCCCCGTCCAGTGGAGCTCTTGGGTGGTTAAGAGGTGAAGGAGCTGGGACTTCGGGCTGACAAGGTTCGCGGTCGGGTCCTCAGGGAATGCTTAAGATCTGAATGGAGCAATTGTTTGGAATTTAGGATACTCCCAGGAGGTGAGTAGGGCCAGGTCCGCTGGGACACGGACTCTCAGGTACCTCGGGGAGGGTGATCTGCCCCAGGACGTATTAGGAGAAAGCTCCCTCCCCCTCATGAAGGAGGTGGAGGCCCTGGGCACTCTGAGTGGCAGTCTGAGGGGATCTTTTAGGATTAGAGACCCTCTTAGAAGAGTCTTAATGACGGTTCTGGGAGAAGTAAAAGTCTCAGGGAACCCCCAAAGGGCTCAAATTCTCAATCTCGGGGACACCCTCCCCGGTGAGGGCCCACTACCTGGATGAACTGGATGGTCAGCGCGCTCTTGCCCACGCCGCCGCCGCCCACGACCACCAGCTTGTGAGTCTCGCCGGGCGGGGGGTCCCTGGGTCCCGGCCCCCCGCCCCGGGGCCGTCCCCGCCCAGTCCCGGACGCCGCCCCGCTGCTCATGTCGCCACCGCTGCTGCCGCCGCCGCTACCGCCTAGGGGGGAGCCGGGAGAGACTAAGGGGTGGGTTATGCTAATACACACTGCATAAACATGAGCTCCGGTCTGCAGGACGCGCGTCTCCGGATGCTTCGGGAGGAGGCGAGCCAGGGAAAGGGAGGAGCTCTACTAATAAGGGTAGGGAAACAAGTTTGCAGGGGAGGGGAATTCCACGAGGGGCGGGGATCTGCTAAAACAGACCCGTGCCCACGGTAGCCCAGCCACGCGCTCCTTTCGGGCAGTCCGCCTCTGGGAGGAGTTATGCTAATAAAGTGCCGTCTTCGGGCGAAAAGTCCTTTCGGGGCGGGGACATGCAAATCTAAGGGCCACCCCTGAGTCCGGGTGGGTGGGGCTCGTGGGCTCCAGCTCAGGGCCGTATATAGGGCGGTCTTAGGAAGCACAGGTCTCGAAAAAGAAGCTCCACCTCCTTCCTGGGATCGTCGCCAAGCGCTCTGCCCGGCCTTGGTCTAGAAGCTGGAGTCTTGGCCCGCCAAGGGATCCAGGCTTCCGGTTCCCTATGTCCCAGCCAAACGGAAGATAATCTGGGAGGGGAGCTGGGGCCCTGGATGGGGACAGCAGGGTAACGGGGCAGGGATGGGCTGTGAGATCACCACATTCCTAATCCATGAGCCAGCTCATCCTCGTCGGGAAGTCGGGGGCCAGAAGGGGCCTACAGCCAGGACTTCTGGTGTCTGGAGGAGGCAGCTGATGATTCAGACACCTGGTTCCTACGAGTGCATCGAGTTGCGGACTTGGATTCGCGGGTGGCAGGGAGAACAGGCCTTCGGGAGGGGAACCTGAGAGCCTGAACTCTTGGAGTCTCGGGGACTCAGAATTCTGGGCTCGCGGTCGTGAGTGCGCGAGGGGAAGGTTGTGGAGGAGTCCAGCACTTACGTGTGTGTAAGGTGTTATACTGATGCCCGGAAAGGCCTGAGGAACGAACGGGTCAGAGGGGAGAGGATTGAGATCTGAGTCCCAGGGAGAGGGACTTCACTCTTCTGTTCTGAGTCAGAGGACTCAGATTTCGGACTTGACTGTCCTGAGTAAGGGCGCTCTGGTCTGACTCCTTCTAAATTTAGTGGAGATTATTGTAAATTCAAAGCTAGCCTGGACATCTTAGGATGACCCTGTCTCAAAATAAAAAACAAAAAGAGGGCTATAGGCAATGCTTAATAACAGAGCACTTGCCTAGCATGTAGGAGGGTAAAATGCAATCTCCAGTACCCCCAAAGTGAGTCATTTAAGCCGGGCATGGTGACGGACTCCTCCTGTGCCAGCACTGGGGAAGCAGAGGCAGGATCACACCTCTCAAAAAACGTCCTTAGGACTTCGAGGGGAAGAAAGTTAGAAGGGTCTGCTATTCGGAAAGGCAGACTATGGAAGGGTAGCGTCCAATTCACTTCAGTTCCCATTGATCTCAACAGCGGAGCGTCTTTTTTACATCACTTCCTGATCCGCCGCCCTTTCCCCGCGCACGCAGGGCACTGTGGGGGGCCGCAACGCGCGCTCCGGCAACCCCGCCCACTTCACCTTTCACCCCTGCACTGTCCCCGCGTGACGGAGTTGACTCGCGGACTACGTCTCCCGGCGTACAGCGCGCGCACCCCGCCTCCATGCGACGCGTTGATTTCTGGGAAACCGAGTCCCCCCTCCGCCCTGCCGGCCTTCAGGAAACCCAGCTGGGTACTTGAAATCCCAGCAAGCTCGGCGGCAATTTGGCTCCGCCTCCCCTGAGCTCAACTCGCGAGCCCCGCCCCAGTCCGCCCCGCCCCGCGCCGGGGCCGGAGCCGCAGCCCGAGCGGCGGGGTAAGATGGCGGCGGCGGTCCGGGCCGCGGGGCTCGGGCCTAGCGGGGTGGGCGGGGCGGAGTCGGGTCGCTAGTCGTCTCCGAGTGTCGTCCGTACGCCACCGGGCCTGGAGAGCATAACGTGGCAGCCTCGGATCCGGCAGCGGCGGCCACGGCAGTCACTGAGTGTGGGGCCTTCTTGGGGCCCGGGACGCGCCCGTGGGTGCCAGGGGGCGTCCGTAGGGCCTGGACGGCGCCTAGGTCAGCCCTCCATCACATTGCTGAACCCGGACGTGTCTGCAGGCGCCGTAGATGGTTTTTATGTGCGACCGTAGGCTAGGGTCTGTTGAGAGGCTTTTGGGGCCATCTTGAGATCTTGATGTGTGTCCCAGGAGTGAAGGGGTCTGCAGAGCCACCTAGATTGCTGGGGTATGTGTCTTAGGGCTGGGAAGCGTCTGCCCGTGCTAGCCTCTGCATTCAGCTCATCTGTGTGGATCTGGGACAATTTATAAGGCCTGGAAGCTCTCTTCAAGGACTAGGAAGTGTTAAGGGCCACCTGGAAGAAAGAGATGTGTTCCCACCCAGGGAGAGGGAGGCAAGCATTATGATGTGCCCAGAAGCATAAATGGGTCTCCAAGATCTGGGAAGTGTTTGATGTGGGGTGACTCGGAGACGGGGGTGGGGTGGGGTGGGGCAGTTAGAAGGAACTGGAATCATCCAGGTGATTTTGATGTGATTGCAAGAATCCAGACTGTGTCTTGGAGCAAATTCAAATGCTTTTGGAGAGTAGATAAATGTGTAGAAAATAATACAACAAAGTGCTGGGCATTTTACTCACCTCAAATGTACTTGCCCTTCAGAAAGTAATTAAAAAGGAAATGGCTTTAAACAAACAAAGAAAGAACGAACCTGTGTTGTCCTGGTGCTGAGGAGTTAGAATCAGTTCCTGGAGGCCTGAGGGTCTGTAGAGCTGACTAGACTCACCTAGTGCAGTGCCCTGTAGCTTGACCTTGATAGCAGGAGGAAATACATTGTTGGATGCGATTCGGTACATGCCAACATATGCATTTTACTAATATTACTCCAATCGTGTAAACGGATGTTTCCATTTAAAACTTGGGAAGTATTTTTCAGTATGTTTTATGTACTTTGTGTAGTGAGCTGTTTGTGAATCACAGAATTGCTCCCAGGACCCTGTAATTGAGGGATCATGTATCTCCCGTGGTCTGCAGAGCCTTATAATGTCTGCAGCCAGGTGCTTTTGATACAGTTTCTTGTATGTGACAGTCACTGCTCTGGATAGCATTTTTGTCCCAGATAGTGCTGGGGAGCAGCCCCAGAGCTGGGAACTAGTGGTACACAGGGTGGGAGGGTCCTGAGCATTAGCTTAGAGAAGCTTGGAGATGGTAGAGGGGCTGTCAGAGTAGGGTATGACTCTGGGAATTAAGGAAGAAGCTGAAGATTTGGGCAGCTGGAGCTGAGAGGCTGGCTGAATGTGGAGGCCCAGGCATAATTTCATAGAGGACAGGGACCAGGTCTTAGGTCTTTTCTTTGCAGGTGCACAGCAGGAGAAGTAGGCTGAGACAAAGGGGAAACCTGGTCTAAGGGCTGGTGATACAATTATTGCTAATGTGTATCCAGCCATTTGTATGTGCAAATGAGTGTGATAGATGCTACTATTTTGCCATTTTCAGATAAGCATAAGGTTTGGTTTAGGAATCCCAGAGCTTCTAGGAATTCCAAGATTAGGTGTGTTCAGAGTCACAGGTTTGACAGCTGTGGGGAGGCTTACAGCTGTGATGTTCATGTTTTCTGAAGCCTCCATCAAGACATCCACCAGTCTGAAGGATGCTCTTTCAACCACCTGACTGGGCACTCAAAGCTCAGAATTCCCGTGACATCACCGGAGGCTTTGGCCATGCTTCCACAAGACAGGCAGCTGGGTGATAGGCAAGTGTCCCAACGGGGCTGGGAGGACAACATGACTTTCTGAAATTTGGCAGTTTTGTTTTAAAAGCAGTGTAGTGGCTGTGTAGACCATACTATCGTAGTTCTGTTTCATACCTATAAATGAAGCACTTTGGTTCCTCACCATGGAGGAGGATGGATGCTGTGTGAAGCTGTGGTACCTGTTACAGAGTACCACTGAGCATGTCGATGCATTCCTCATTGTGAGGAAGGTGGGTTTCTGAGACTGCAGCACGTTCATAAAATCATGAGACCCAAAGTCAGGGTTGAGTTGGCATCTATCTGATTGGGTTGGGGAATTTGAGTTTTGGCTAGGAGCTTTGGGAAACTGGGCAGTGGAGTCCTCCCATTGGCAGGGGAGGCAGCTAACATCCAGAAGAAGGATGCTCTAGTCCCTGCCAGGTCAGCGTGGAATTGGTGGAAGAGGCACCCTAAAGCAGATGCAGGGAGACAACCCAGGAGGTCCCTGAGACCTCGCTTCACTCCAAACTGTCGCCCTCAACCCCAGGTGACCATGGAGGAGGAAGATGAGTCTCGAGGTAAAACAGAGGAGTCGGGAGAGGATCGGGGAGACAGTCCACCTGACAGAGATTCTGCCCTTTCTCCTTCTGCTTTTATCTTGGTAAGACAGCTGGGGGCAGTGGGGCCTGGGGGCCTAGGTTCCCATTTCCTGGAGTAGGAGCTGAGGGTATGGGCCCTGGAAGAAGTGGGGCCCTGTGGGGCTGTATGTGGCCTCAGCCTGTGGCCTGGCTATGGGGTGCCTGGAACATGCCTTCCAAACAGCAGAGGTTATAAAAGTCTCTTACCTGGTGCCCCTGATTTTTTATCCCCCTGCAGCGGGCCATTCAGCAGGCTGTGGGAAGCTCCCTGCAGGGGGACCTGCCTAATGAAAAAGGTATGAGGTGTAGTCCTTTCAGGCCCTTACCCCTCCTCTGGGTTTGGTATCTTCATTCTTTCTGAGCCATCATGAGTGCTACCCTTGTGGTCGGGCTAGGAGTGTCCGGGGGACTGGGTTTGACTGGAGGAAGGCCTGGTTGGCAGGGACCAGCAGACCTGCAGCTTAGGGGATGGTGTCATGGGACCCAGTGTGGTGTCAGGGCTGACGCGAGAGGTGGTGAGTAGGACGCTTGGGAGGCAGGAGACTTCTAGATCCAGGGCTGTGCAGGGCTCAGAGGCCGAGCTGAGATGTCCCTTTCAGCACTCCAGTGGGTACAAGCTCACCCAGATGGGGTTGGGAGAGCTCGGGGTCCTACCCTGACTGGAGGTGGTAGTACTCCCACCGCGAACACTAGGT